ATAAACATAGCTGGACTGGATTTGCATGGTCTCTTGGAGTTCCTTGGGCTAGGCCTGACAATGTTACACCTTCATCCTATGAGCTGTCCTGCTCCCAGTTTGCTTCTAGATGCAATTCAAGGTGCTGGTTATTACTTATAAAGTCCTACATAGCATGGGGTCAGGGTATCTGAAGGATTGCATTACTCCCATTCTTTTTACCTTCCCATTAGGTCAGGCAGGAGGAGAGTCCTGCTGATCAGGGATGATCAGGAAGCATGCCTTTTCTATAGCTACACCTGCCCTCTGGAACATCATACCCCCTGAAGTTAGGTTGGCTCCAACTCTGCCTTTTGAAAAGCCTTAAGGACCTGGCTGCTTTCCTTGGCATGGGGGTCGGGGGAATAATTGAGCCCCAATAACTGTTGGCATGTGGTGTCTTTGGCAGTCACTTCGTGTTTCAGTTAGTCATAATACATTAACATGTTTTTGATGTACAGCACAATCAATGCTGAAGCGGTCACACTACTTTCCATTTTCTCTTGCCAATTTTTTTTTTAATCTTGTGAATTGTAGTTGTAATTATTTCCTGCCCTCTACATACAAAAATCTTAAATACTGATCAGAGTAATTGTGTTAAAGTATTAATTTCATCTGTGAAATAGTAATATTTTCAAATTGTCTTTCCTAACTTCATTAAGGTGCTTCTTGAATAATGCTTTCTACTTCTATGAAAAGCTTCCTATTTTTCATTTCTATTTATATTCATGTTAATTCTGATACAAATATACAGAGTCTTGTTAGGACTGGGTTTCCAGTTACAATGGGTGTATTTTAAGTTGCAGAAATTATGTTACTCTGGACCTGAATAACTCTAACAGAACATTGGGAGAAAAATTGGAAAAAGTCATAGGAATTTATAATATTAAATATTCATACTAAAATAAATGAGGAGAAAAGTTAATGAGAAGTGGGGCTATCCTATCTCACATATTCAGTGGTTCTAGTTGAATAACCATTTCTTTCTGTATAAACAGGTTTCTGTTAGCACAGTGATGTAAAATGGTTATTTTACCAAACTGTAGTAATTCTATAAAATTGTTAGAAAGTAAAATTACTTCAAACAATTTTTCTTTCTTATCTTTTTCAGCTGCAATATTATGCCATTTCAAACAAGACCTTCCTACCTTGTCATTCCTTCCCCTGAGTGGTTGGCTTGGAATCTTCCAGCTATAGTTGCAGCAAACCTGAAAGAGCCCAAAAAGAATTTGCTTTCCAGGCACTTAATTAAATATTTTTCATGGGTAATATTTATAATTTTTTGGTTGGAGTGTTTAAGATTCCACTACAATATTTGGGGATTCTTTTGATGTGGCAAACTACCATGGTTACCCTTATCAAATTTACTGTTTTCCACCTGTTCTGCTTGATTGGAAAGAGAGAAAAAAAGAAAGCTTTGGAAAATCTTAAGCTCTCCTGTGTGACATGATCCATTCATTTTGCATCATAGTTCTATCCATTGCTGTACCTCCAACCAACACTTAGCATGGCCTCCAGACACCAAAACCTTCCCTATTTTGTGACAGAACATATTTAAAAAGAATGCTTTAGTCATAATTGTTGCCTTTTAATCTTCATATTTTGCATTAAAACCATAAGAAACATAATAAAGAAAATGGAGGGCAAAAGGCTATCTAGCAACACAAAAAATTTAATGAAGATCTGAAAAAGGATACATTTTGGAGGTGGAAGACGGGAAGATGACCAAAGAAAAGCACATATTGGTAGCCAATAATTGTAGAGAGAATCAGGAAATGAAAGCTTAGAGTGAGCTAAAGCTTTAGACATGGCACAAATAAAAGATAAAAAAACTGGCATACTGGCTTCCCAGTTAAGATGATAGATGTTAACAGGTATGTAATAAAGAAAAGTTAGAGCTTCTCAACTCCTATCTTGTGTCAGTCTTTTCTAAAACAGAATGTGTATTACCAGGTAATTCTAAGGGAGAGAATGAAGAAACAGAATTAAGATTTTTAGAGGAAAAATTATTTGTCTTGATTACATGTAAATCTCTAGCTCACCCTCAGGAACTGAAGAATCTTGCAGAAAATCTGGCTGAGTTTTAATATTATAATAACTTATTACCCATGAGAAATTCTGAGAAAATGTATGCCAGATGATTGAAGGACAAATGTTCCTAATTTCAAAGAGGTGTGTGTGAGAGAGAGGATCCAAAGATCTGCAGATCAATCAGCCTGACATCAACACTTGATAAGATTCTAGAACAGATCATGGAAAGACCAGTTTGTAAGCACTGTGAAAACAGTGTGGTTATTAGCATGCCATGGATTTATCAGGAAAAAGTCTTGCAAAACTATCCTTATCACATTTCTTTGATTGGGTAACTTGTTTAATAAAGTATGGGAATGATGTAGGTATAATATAACTTGATTTCAGCAAAGTATTTGACAAAATATTCCATGATATGCAAGCTAGCTAGCTATAGGCTGGATGGCATGAGAATTGAGTAGATACATAGCTGGCTTGAAAATCATGCACAAGGATTGGCAGTGGGCCCAGTTACCCACCGGAGGGGTAACCTTCCCTTTACTGGATGTGTTATAGTGGAGACTAGGCGGTCATCTGTCCAAGACAATTTAATTTTGATTCCTGCACTCAAAAGAGAGTTGACTGACTTAAATGTTCCCTTGCAACTGTATGATTTTAAACAAAATTCTAATATTTAAGGAACCTATTTCTACTTCTTTCTTTTAAATATAAATAAAGTAGCATCTTGCTTGAGAACTTGGCTTAATCAACAGAGTACCAAAAACTATAGTACTTAATACCTGTCACGATACTGGAAATTTGTACTTAAACATACTTTTTTTAAGATACTTCCCCACCTTTTAACGGAAGCAAGCAGCAAATTATTCACTTGGCTGTATCTAATATATATAAAAAAGGGAGAGCTTGTTAAGAACGCGTTGAAAGTTAATGAGAAAAAAAAATGGCCCCTGTTCATTTTCATGAGGAATCATCTCAGAACTAGGCGTTATGTAGGCTTGAACAGAATGTACACCGTTCAGCCTCTGGACAGATACAGGGCTTATAACTAGAATGCCGACGAAAGAAATAGCCGTCGGAAAAAAACACGAAATTACAAAGCCATCACACCACTTCAGTGTGGGCCACTACCAGATGCAAAAAGCAAACGCGCAGAAAGCGGATCCTTCTGCGACATCCTAAAATCTTGCGAAAATGTCCAAGTAGCTCCCCATCACGTGTCGGTTCCCAACGAGGGTGAGGCGGTGCTTTCTCAACAGTGCACTCTCGCAAGACTGGCAGCTGGAGCTCCCAACCGCCTTTCACCAGCAGAAGTGAAGGGCAGAGCCTCGCGAAAAGGAGACGGGGGATTCAGGAGGTGTGCGTGATTGACAGAGCCACAGGTCAATCGGCGCGTGGCAGTTCCCCTCGGCGTTCCCACCCCTCTCCAACCATGGGTGGGGGTGGAACAATGGGAGGAAGAGGAGATGGAAGCAGGAAAATGGCAGCGGCGCTGGCAGCGGCGTCTTTAGCGGCGTCTTCAGGGAGCGGCGGTTCGCGGCAGGGCGCTTCGTCTACCGCCTGCTTCCCCGCGCTGTTGCTGCTTGCGGCACTTTCGAACCTGCGTGAGTCGAGGCGCGTTTTCAGTACCGTATTGGGCGCCCGTGGAACGGGGGGAACGGAGGAAGCAGGGCGAGCGCAGGAGGAAGGAGAGCCTCCGGCCCCTTCGGAGACCCGCCGTCCTCTTAGCCCGACCTCGCGTGGGCCGGAGAAGGAGGCGGAAGACCAGTTAGCCGCTGGCGCTCGTCTGCGACGGGGTGCTTGAGGGAAAAGAGGGCCACCAGGGTGGCAGCTGGGCTCGAGGCGAAGGAATGGAGCGAAATGCTGCTTCTGTGGGATGGACGGGAGGGCTGGATGGGAACTCGGAGCGATCCCCCCCACCCAGCGCTTCTCAGTATGTATTATATTGACACGGGTCCTCGTCTGCTTCCTTGTAATGGAAGAAAGCGGGGGGCGGGCGGGGAGGTAAATGTACGTGTCAGGAGGGTGACGGCTGTACGTGTGAATCGCTTTGCAAAACAATCTGGAACTGAACAGAGCCTACCGGAAGGCCGGCGATCTCTCCTTCGCTCAAACCCACCCCCCACCCCCCGTTTTTAATGCTCTGTTCTCTTTTCTTTCTGTGATCGTGTCCGGGTCATGGTTCAATTGCATAGATAACGGGAGTGTTCTGATTTAGGGAAGTCGCTTGTGCGAGAGTAGAGTCACCGCAGCCTCGAATGAATACAGGACACATAAATGGCAGAAGTTCTATACTTATTTTAGCGTTTGTAGTGGTGATATGATTGTTGGCTTTTCAGTATTGTTATTCGAATGAAGAAGGGATTTCTAAGTGGTACTCAAAGCAGGGATGTAATGAGGCGCGCAATGAAAGCTATCTCCCCCCACTTGGCATAAGCATACATGAATGCTTTAAACTTATTTAGAATTTTGAGTTGTTATATTTACTAAAAAAATTATATAGCCTCTTATTTACCAAGGAACTTTGGAGTTTGTTTCATTGGGAGCAAGAAAACAACTCCACAGTTTTATTCCCAGTACTGTTTGGAATTCATCGCATATCTCAGATTTGCTAACTGAAGCTGATAAGTAAGACCTAAGTTGTGCTCAGAATCACTCAGCTCACACATATTTTGTATTAGTACTAGCTAGACCTGAACATCAGTTTCAGGAATTACTTCCTATAATATTTGCATCTGTTTTTCAATGAAAACAAATTTTAGACATGATTCATATGCTACTCAGGGGAGGATTTTGCTTAGCTGAAAATATGTTTATTCAAGTGATGTGATATCATTGAGGTCACTAGTTTGCTAATCTATGCTCAGGCAACAGTGTAATGGGAATATTCTACTATATCTTGATGCTCCCATTTTTCTCTCATAATCTGTGTAGAAAAGGTATGCAAAAGGTAATACACGCAAAAGGACAACTCTAATAACATTAAAAATGATTTTATAAATCCAATCCATCCTTTAACTATGACAAGAAATGCTATATTTCATTTATATAAATTAATTGATATGCACACATTACCTCATCCTTCCCCAATCTGATGCCAGGTTGGACAGTGTTGCTGTGGCCTAAAGGATTATTAGCAGTATGAAGGTAGCATTGTTCTCTGCTTCTGAGTTTTATTACCATGAAAACTTTACAAGAAATGAGCATTTCAAATCTGATGTTCTTTATGTGTTACACAGCACATAGAACAACAGCAAAATTAGATAATGTTTATCATTCAATATGAATGCTAAAATGACTTTTCATGTATAATGTGGATATGAGTTGAGCTAATATCAAGACTCAACCAGTTTGGTACTTTATATAGAGTTTGTTTGAAACTTATTTTTGGGAGAAACTTACATAATGGGAGAGGTTATATCTGTTGAAAATATTGTTTCATTTTCTAGGTCCATGCTTTCTACTAGTTACAAAAGGTGTTGTAAGACTTGTTAAGGTGATGATGTATTTTATCAGAAGTGAGATTTTTGCACAATTAGATCATCAAAGAAAAAGAATGACCAATGGCAGCTCTAATGAGACTAGGAGTAGTTAAAGGAAATGAATGCAAATTTTGTCATGGTTTATTGTAACCTCGTGCCCCAAAGGTAAACGTGAAGGTGGATGAATTCTTCCCTTTTTTATATACAGTATAAGGCATGTTTTATGCCCAAGTAGACTTGTCTCTTCCAGAAAGACCAGGAGGATAAGTTTTAGAATGTTAAGTACTACCTTTAATTCCTCCTCCCCTTTTCTGCTTAACATTAGAAAACATGCATTATTTTAAAATTTAATTCATTGTTTAAAACCTGCATAGAATTTTGATCTGGTGGTCTTAGGGCTTGATTTGATTACTTACTTACAGATCTTATCCCTTGAATAGAAACTGAGTTAGATCTGGTTCCATTGTAACACTAAACTAACGTGTCTTTTTCATTTTTGTTTAGCAAGGTGTCCAAAATCATCATATGTATTTGGGACAATCTATACATCAGAGTAAGCCGAAGGCAAACAACATTTCAGCTTAGTGTTGGAGTAACACTTGGATGCAATTTATTCCAAGATGGAAATGTTTTTCTTTCTGGATTTAGTGAAAATATTTCCTCTCATATTGCAATTATTGAGTAAATAATGTATTTTCTTTCACGAAACCAACACTTTTAAACGATCGCAACTGAATATAAAAGCAACTAGCTATTACTAGCACTATTATATCATGATCATAAAACTATTCAAATTTGAGAATACCATTTCACAGTGCACATTAGATTTTTAAAAACCTCAATGTAATGGAAAAAAAACTTAGGATTGTTTACACACAATTCAGGAAGAACAATAGCATTATTTTAAAACTAGCTGCATCCTTACATGTAGACTTGCTTTTTGTCTTACATTGAACTGGTTAGATGATAGCCATTTCTCAAAAATATAAGCCTAGGTGTTGCTGTTACACATGTTGAGGCAGGAAGAAATTATCCACGAAGCAACAATTAAGGTGTGTGCATTCATGTTTCTTCTGTATTCTAGTATAAGCAGAGTAATTTGACTAGGGGCAAAAATAATTGTTACAGTACTTTTAGATTGGTTCTGCAAGTTGAACTGGGCAGATATTCAATACAGTAGGCAAACTGAGTAATGCTCCAGGTGGTTGCTTTCAAACAGTCCGGGGAAAAACAACCTACTATCTGTCAAATATTTTGAACTTTCTAAGTCCTATAAACCACTGCCATGTTGGCCAGCAAGGGGGGACTCTAGGAGTTACAATCCATACCATTTGGAGAATACCACGGTAGCAACTTCTTGCAGAGTTATTAATCTAAGTAGTGTCTGGCCAAATTGGTAGCATTACATTATGAAATCAATTAGTGCTTCCTCTCAAATCTTTGAGTTGATGATGTGCTGGTTGCTTACAGAATGCTTCTAATTAAAATAGGATAGATGAAAAAAATAGATTGTTAAAAGAGTAGCATTTGCAGTGGGTATAGTGAAAATTACCTTGGTAAAACCCAGTAGTTATCCTGTTCCCAGATAAATGAGATATTAAACTATTTTGGGGAAAAATGTTCTCTCCGCTGCTCCGACTTAATTCTGAGAGAAAGTGCTTTCTGTTTGGTGACTCTTTGTCTATATTAATGGAGGTCAAAAGTATATATTGCAAGTTACAGGGATCTCTGCTTATGCCAAGCTGTCAAAAAGTATTCTGTGATTTTCACAATCTCTTTATTATTTTCCATGTTCAGTTATGAACATGGAAATATCTAAACATATCTCACAATTTTTCAATAGTAGATCAATGGAGTATGGAGTATTTGTTAGCAAACCAAATGTAAGAAGTTAACATATTTATAACATCTTTCAATTCTTGCTGGAACAGTTTATAGTGGTGTCAAGTAGCATGTGACCATCTAGATGTTGTTGAACTCAAACTTAGATTAGCTTTTGTCAAATGTTGAGGAATGATGGAAATTGCAACTTGATAACATTTGAGGTGGCCATAGATTGTCCACACTTAATCTGTTTGGCTTTCTTAATACTAGTAATTATACTGTTGAGTTCCTTTTTAATAGGAGCAAATCCCAAAAAGAAACACTCTTTACTGAAATCAGAAACTAGCAACCTAGTATATCTTCAGGATATGTTAGTCTTCAGTCATCATCAATCCTGGTCAGCATGGCTTTTGGCAAGGGTTGTGGAAGTTGTAGTCCAAAATATTCACCTGGTTTGAATTAGGCTAGCATTAATCTCTGGATTGAATGCAGTGAAATAATCAGAATAGTTTGCCTCTAATAATTTTTTTATAGACTAAACTCCAACTTTGGAGTAACGGGGTTGTTGAACAATTACGGTCAAATCCTATTTGACAAAATCTTGCTGCATAATTTAGAAAATACTTTTATTATTCCAATCTGGGCTAGTGCTGTGTGCACTATGTTTAATTTATGCTGTGACTCTTGTAAAAAGCCTAGGCAATGTGAAGTCCAAAAAACGATGGGAATGCACTTTGTTCTTTACTGTGTTCCAGCATTTTTAAAATGCTGTAAATATTGACAGGTGGCCTAGAATAATCAGTGGTAATTCTGTGTTCCAACCTGTTATAAGCCGCTCTTGATAGCATGATGATAGTTATTTTCAACAGGAATATTATTTTAAGTTGAATTGCCTGTGCTCTTGATCAAAATCTGAAACAGCCTTGAACTAATTGCACAATGCTGTAATTTCTGTTAGCTGTGAACATCACAAATTATTCTATAAAAGTCAGCTAACATCAACAGTGTCAAAATAAAAGAGGGGTATCATGGTGCTGCTTCAGGCTAAATACTTCATGATTTCATCATCTGAAAAGAAAAATGTCAGCCAACTCTCCCAATTTAGTGCTCAAATGTGTTGGATTGTAATTTACTCATCTATCACAGCCAACAGAGTTGTTCCAACTCATCTTGAATATACTAGTTTTAAGAAGATGTTGTAGGCTAAAGGTTTCTGGAGATTTAAACTTCAGATTCTTAAAAATTAGGACACAAATATCAACATACGTATTTTTATAGAGAAGCTAACAAAAACATTA